AAACAAATGTCCTTCCTAAAACAAAAGGGTTTCAAAATGTCGGAACATGATGCTGAACTCCTTCAAATTCTCGATGAAAAGCAAACATCCCCAGAGCAGGCTTTCCCTTCTGCTCTCGACCTCGAGCAGCTTGCTGCTACTGCCGATCATCCGAACTTTGATCAGATGTTGGCGGAGATTGCTGATCTCCCTGTTTCTTTCTGGGATGAATCCGGTTTCGTGCCCTCCTCGCTTTCCGTTGCGCAGGGGTCCTTTTCGCCTGTTGGTAATACTGTTGAACGAGCTGGTGGCAGCCCCTCAGGTTCTGGATAGGTTCCCATGTGTTTTCTGAGGTAGGATACCCTTTCCACTGAACTAAGAGTTGTTGCTGACTGTTGTACCATCTGTCCGACAGGATTCGTTCGACTTCATATTCGTCTTCGGTTTCCTCGATTTCCACATTGGTTGCAATTTCGGCGTTGTCTGGTGCTGGTTCGAGTAACGAGATATGAAACACTGCATGGAGTTTTTGCATGCTTTCGGGTAGCTTCAAGCGATAATTTACTGGTCCCAATTTTTCCTCAATCTTGAACGGTCCTAGTCGTAGGTGGTCCAATTTGTTGCTGGGTCGCTTGGTTTTGATGTTGCGTCGCAATAGGTAAACCTTTTCTCCCTCCTCAAGGTCAGGTCCCTCTCCATGGTGGTTGTCGTAATATTTCTTCATGCGCAGATTGACAAAGTCAATGTCTCTGGCTAGTTGCGTGTGCAATTTTCTCAGTCCGCTGGCCTTCAGTCTCGCTGATTCTGCCACGGCTGTCTTGTTGATTGGTTCTCCAAACACCATTGGATTATATCCATAATTCGCAAAGAATGGTGTTTCGTTGGTCGTAGAGTGTGCTGCATTGTTGTATGCCAGCTGTGCTGTTGGTAGCAGTCCTGCCCAGTTGTCTTGCTGGTAGTTCACGTAGTGTCGCAGGTACTGTTTCACTGTCTGATTCACTCTTTCTGTCTGACCGTTGGTTTGCGGGTGGTATGCGGTAGAGAGTCTAAGCTCAATACCCATCTGGTCCGCAAAAGACTTCCACATGTTCGATGTGAACAACTTGTCTCTGTCTGATGTGATCTTGCTCGGCATTCCGTGGTTCGCAACCACATGTCGAAGCACAATGTTCGCCATTTGATCAGCATCAATGGTTTCTGTAGTTGGAATCATGTAGGCGTACTTGGTGAGCCTATCGACTATAACCATAATCATGTCGTGTCCATCTGAAACTGGTAACTTCGTGATGAAGTCCATCGTGATCCATTCCCATGGCTGGGTTGGTGTTTCAGATAACTGTAATTCTCCGTAAGGTGCGTGTCGTGCAGGTTTGTTTCGTTGGCACGTGTCGCAAACGCGGATGTAGAATCGAACCTTTCGCCACATGTTCGGAAAATAATAATTTCGCGTGATGTGTTCGATGGTTTTTTCCACTCCCATATGTCCATGTGAGATGTCATCGTGGTGTCGACGTATGACCTCTTCTCTCAGCTTGTTTGGAACATATATCAATCCATGCATATGGAGCAATCCTTGGTCGTCCTTGGTGAGTTTTCCACCCTTCTCGACGAGTTGATTGATCGTATCTTCCTCCAATGCGTCTTTGATTTTCTGCAAGAAGTCGTCATCCTTGACTTCTATCGTTGCGGCCAGTAACTGTTTGTTGTACGAAATAGTACCATCAGAGTTTTGTCTCAATACAGCAGGATCCGCTGCCTTGGTTCCTAATTCGTAATCTGGTCGTCTGCTTAAAGCGTCGGCTTGTCCGTTTTCTGTTCCTTTGCAGTGTTCGATTTTAAAATCGTATTGTGCAAGGGTTTCGGCCCATCGCGCTTGTCGTCTCGTCAACTTCTTCGTCGTGGTGAAGAATGTGAGATTCTTGTGATCGGTCTTGATCGTCACCGTATACTTTGCTCCTTCTAGATATGCTCTCCAGACTTGGAATGCTGACACTATAGCCAATAATTCCTTGTCGTGCACATCGTAGTTGAGTTCTGCTGGAACCATTTTCCTTGACCAAAATGCAACTGGTCGGTGCTTGCCGTCAGTTCCCGGTTGCGTCAGTCTTGCTCCCAGAGCATAGTCTGATGCATCGGTTTCCATGATGATTGGTCGGTCGTAGCTAAACGTAGCCACGATTGTTCCTTTGTTGAAGAGTTTCTTGAGGTCCTGGAACGATTTGTCTGCTGCCTCATCCCATATGAATTTCTGATCTTTCTTGGTGAGATGGTAGAGTCCTGATGCGACTCCGGCGTATCCATCGATGATCTTCCGATAATAATTGGCTAGACCAAGAAATTGTTGTACTTCCTTCACATTTTTGGGTGTCGGCCATTCCATAATGCTTTTGACCTTGTCTTCTTCCATCCCTAGTCCTTCAGGGGTAATGCGGTATCCGAGGAAAGTCGTTTCCTGAACGTGGAATTCGCATTTCTTCAGTTTGAGAGTGACTTCTGCTTCTCTCAGCTTCTGCAACACAAGTCTGTTGTGTTTGATGTGATCTTCGAGTGTCTCTGAGAAGACCAAGATGTCGTCCAGATATGCGACAACGAAGATGTCCAAATATTCCTCAATCGCTTTGAAGATGAAGCGTTGGAATGTTGCTGGTGCGTTGGTGAGGCCGAAAGGCATAACCTTATATTCGTAATGTCCGAACTTGGTTCTGAATGCCGTTTTCCATTCATGGCCTGGCTTGATCCTGATGCGATGGTAGGCATTGGTAATGTCATACTTCGAAAAGTACTTGGCATGTCCAATCCTGTCTTGCATTTCGTTGATCAAAGGTAGTGGGTGTCGATCTTTGATGGTAATCGAATTTAAATGTCGGTAATCCACACAAAGTCGAAGACTCCCGTCCTTCTTTGGTACGAAGATGATAGGATATCCAGCCGCTGACTTCGAGACTCGGATGTATCCTTTTCGTAGGTTCTCCTGGATGTATTCCTTGAGTGTGTCGGACTCCTTCTGTGACAACTGATAGATAGGCATGAAAGTTGGTTCAGTGCCTTCCATAGTGTTGATCTCGTGATCAAAGGATCCATGTTTCGGTAACACTCCATCGGCCGGTGCCGTAAAAACATCCGTAAACTCCTGGTATTCCTCCGGAATCCTGGGTTCATCGCTGGTTGCGTACAGCTTCTCATGTTTGATCATCACATAGTCCTTCAATTCTTGGTCGGACATGTCTGGTGATTGTTCCGTAGTGTCTGGGGCGACGCCCGTGACTGACACTCTAGTCCTCTTGCTTCGGGACTGTTTGCTGCGCTCGTTTCGTTGGGCAGACTTCTGTCGACGCATTTCGTATTCGTCGTATGTTTCCGCACATGTACATCTGTCGAATGAGATGTATCCCGATTGCCAATCGATGCTCGGGTTATGCTTCTTAAGCCATGGAATGCCTAAAACAATGTCGTAGTCTCCCGTTTCCAAGATATTGAACCGTATCAATTCTGGGTGTCCGTAGACAGACATAGGCAGTGTGATGGTTTCCTCGCTGACTCCTCCTGAGAGTACTTCTCCGTCGAGTCCTGCGACTGGTATCACGTGTGGTAGGGGTTCGGTCGCAACTTGTCGATCTTCCTTAAACCTTGGGTTCATGAAGTTGTTGGTGGCTCCCGAGTCGATGAGAGTCCATGCCTTCCCCATAGGTAGGATCGCGTACAACTTAATGTGTGTTCCTGACGTTGTTGCCGCTAGATGTGTTGTTGGTCGACCCTCGTGGTCGTACATCTGGCGCCCATTGTACCAAATTCCTTGGTATCCCTTCGTCCATTGTGGCTTCTTCATCCACCGTAGTGGTTTCGGTTCGATGCCGTAATCTAACTTTGCTGACCCATGAATGATGCACGTTTCGTCGTAGCACATGACACTGGCCATCTTGCCATGTCCTGGGTGTCGCGCATATCCTTTGCACGCGCAAGTGGAATTTTCGCAAGGGCATCCTGCTGGGTCGTCGCCTTCCTCAATTGCGTCAATGAGGTGCTGGTCCAGTCTGCTGGGCCACATCTTTCCTTCGAGATGTCCCCTAAGCTCTTTAGCTTCTTCATCATCGTGATGGTTCGTAGGGCTTTCTGTTGGTGTTTCTGGGATGGTTTGATCTATTCCGGGAAGCGCATCTGGCGTTCCTAGATCACTATTGGCTCCGGGGATCGGGTCCTGTGTCTCCGGGGGCCCCACATCGTTAGTCGTGAGATGCTTGGGGTCCCGGGACTCCTTTGTTCCCGCGACCGTGGTCTCCAGACCTGGTGGGTCTTGCGACCGCCGACCGAGGTCCTCCCTAGCCTTAAGTCCTGCTGGGTCTTGGATCAGTGCCTGGGGCACGTGCTGTGTCCACCCTTGACTTTCTACCGTATCCCAATCGATTTCTGGATAATCGAGTTCTGGCTCGTCGGCTAACCCTTCAATGCACAGGTTGCCCGCCGTTATCTCTTCCGGGTCGAGGCCTTGGTGCCTACCCATGAGATCTTCTAAGAGCTCGTCTCTTAGGTCCATAGCGACTCGCCTTTTCTGTCTGAGGCTGTCGATGAGGGTCCCGACCTGCCCTCTCAGGTCGCCCTGTTGCTCGTTAGGGTGCATTTCCTCCCAGTGTTCCCAACTGGCGCTCATTCCTTCGGCGCTGGTGCCTGTGCTGGTGGTGGCTTTTCCCTCTTGGGTCGCTCGCAGTGCTTCGCGTGTCGCCCGCATGTGTTGCCGTTTCTCATACGGTTTCTTCTGTTTGCATTCCTTCGCGCGGTGTCCTGGTTTCCCGCAGGTAAAGCAAAGATTCTTGTTGCGACGCTCCTTTTGCTCATCGTGAGTAGCGTCCAACTCCATTGGCTTCGGGCCATATGGATCGTTGTCCCGTGGTGTCGCTCTGTCGCGGCGTCCACCGAATCGGTTGAAGCTGTGCATCTTTCCACGCTTCCATAGTTCCATTTCGTGTCGTTCCCTTCTTCGCTCGCTGTTGCGGTTGTCGATTTTGACCGCAATCTTGATGAGTTGATCAAGCTCCTCTGGCTGATCCATTCGCGCTAGCTCGTCCTTGACGTCGGATTTCATTCCAGCTTCGAAGTAAGGAAGGTATGCTCTGTCTGGCCAATCCAAGTAAGAGATGATTTGCAAGAACTCAGAGGCATAGCTTGACATGGTTCCGGTTTGTCGGATTCGTTGTAACTTTTTCTGGGCTGTTCTCGCAGCGTCGATGTCTCCGAACGTATTTTCGAGGTGTCGACGGAAGTTGCGATACTCGCTGAAGATGTTTGTCGTGGTATCCGACCATTCTTCAGGTTTCTTTCCATAATAGTCACGGATGTGAGGTCCGAACCAATCCCATGCCTGACCGCGCAAGTAGGCTGACACAAAAATCACCTTGCCGGCTTCGTTGGGTACCTTGGCGCCGTTCACATCGAGGTGCATGTCCATCTGAGTGAGGAATCCTCGAAGTTTGATTCGGCTTCCTTCAAAGAACTCAGCCCTGGGCAATCGTGGTGCCTGGACAGTACTGATGGGTGCGGATGCGTTGACTTGAGCCTTGATCTGCTCGAGGTAGTCGTCGACCTCGCCAAACTTGGTGCCGCTTTGCTTACCCAAGTTGCTGAGCTGATCCATGACCTTTTTGAGGTTATGCTCGAGTTCGCTGATCTTTCGCTTCTGTTCCGCAATGGTGTTGTCTCGTTCGACGTCAGAGTCGGGATCCTCCACGGGTGGAGTGACTTGCTCCCGAATGGGCTTCTTCCCAGCACTGGCGTGAGACATGTTGCTTGTCGTGACTCGAAACTTGATTCGAGACGGTCTTCAATGTGTTACGCACTAGCTAACTGGTCACAGTTAGGTTAGATGGGTTCAGGGTATACTTGCCTTAATACTCCTCGAATGGTCCAACGTCAATGATCGGGTCTCAACTGAGCTAATGCCACGCAGGGCCTTATAGTAGCCTAAGTCCTTTTGAGCGATCAAGGAACTGATGCCAGGTAGAGCGCCGAGTAGATCTATACCGGGGTATTGGTCTGCTCGTGAGTGTTGTCAAGTTATAATCAAGTAAAGAGTCACAGTAATCCAAAAGGTAAACACAAGTAACAATGTATAATTGAAGACGAAGAACTAAACTAGATACATGAATGAGTGTCCTTATATATCTCTGAGTTCTTCCTGTGTAGAATGGTAGATGGTAGAATAGTAGAATCGCCTTGGCGGATTCTACCGATCTACTTGCTACCCTTCTACTACCTGCATGATCACGTGATGCTGACCAACCGTCTTCTGCGTGCAGCGGTTGTCTGGTACGTAGAGTAACCTATGTAACGGAAATCCTCTGCGGGGTGGATCCGCTCAGGGCGGATCATGCTCTTGCTCAGTGAGCTTGCACGTGATCTGCTGACAGATATCCTGGTTGGCTCTTGATGGCCCATTGGTGTGCCTGGTGGGTCACCACTGATTGGTGACGGACAGGTCCATAACATTTAGTAGATAGCTAAGATAATCTAGTAACTATAGGAGTAAATCTTAACCTTAGAGAGCTAACGTCCGGTCTCTATAGTTAAGATTCTGTAACCTAAGTTCTTTAATAGAATACGATCTAAGCTTCGATCGTTCCTTACTTAACTAGATATAAACTAACGGGTTAATCGATCTAAGCTACCTATAGAAGCTAATAAAGTTATCTATATATTAACCTTCCTCCGAGGACTAGCTTTCGATTAGTTCGAACTATTCCTACGCGAGTTTTAAGAAGAAACCGACTAAGAAGTCTAGAGCGACTTTACCTAGGAAGTATTTAATAGCTACGATAAGTTTAAGGAACGAATTAAACTTACGTTCGGTAATATCGATATAAAACGAATAGCTAAATAACGTCTTCGATACCTACGATAGACTATCTCGGTTAGCGTATATACCGCTAAGTTTTAATAAATTATCTTATACTTAAGTTAGGACGAGGATTACTTCGTTTTAGTCTTCGAAGACAGACTAAAAGAATACGTTAAGGACGAGCTAATACGCGATAATCGACTAGATACGCTAGATAAGATTATCGGTATTATAGTTAAAATCGATAATCGAATCTATAATCGCGAGACGTAACGTCGTAAAATAAGATAGTAGAGAACGGGCGGATAGCGACTATCTATTTAGTATCGCTAGAACGATAGGCGACCTAGGTAGTCTACGCTACGACCGGCGAGATATATAGATCTATATAGCCTAATACCGATAGATCTCGACGTAATATATAAAGAATAAGATAAGCGTCGATAGAAGAATCTTTACTTTACCTATAGGAAACTAGGATACTATACGAAGGAATATAAATAGAAGAAACTATATAAGAAACGGTAATATATATAGGCGATACGCGAAGTACTACGAGCGATCTAAGAGGGAAAGGCTACTACTAGTATAGGTACTAGCGCCGAAGGAATAAGCGTTAGTTAGGAATACTAGGAGGAAATATACCCTAATAAGTAATAGGGCGACCTAGGAGGGTAGGTCGGGACCCTTATCGATAGCCTTAGATAGAAAAGGCGAGTTACTATAGACCTAAAGGACGAACTCTTAGAAGATCTCTTAATAAGATAGACTAACCTAAGCCTAGAAGAGATAACGGCGGATAACCTATATATTAAAGGGTTAGCCGATAAGCTAGAACTCGATTATCTAGAAATCGATTAGGATACGGTAGAAAGTTAAGGGTAGATATAGTACGTACCCTAGGTACTAATCTAGGACCCGATAGGACTTACGGCTAGGGAGGACCTTAGTTAGCGGTTATAAGACCTACTAGGACTAGAGACTATAGATATAGGAATAAAGAAGTCCTAGGACCCTAAGTATCTTATAACTAACGATATAGGGCCCGCGGAGATATAGAACCTAATCCCCGGAGCTAATAGCGATCTAGGAACGCTAGATATACTTCCTAGAATAGATTAAACTATCCTAGAGATACTAATAGAAAGCCTTATAAACTATTACGATAATAAAGAAGCTAAAAAGCTTATAGGATATCTCGAAGGAAAGATATAGCCTAGTAGACTAGACTAGTACCTTATTAACGTAATTAAGGAAGGCGACGACCTAGTAGGATACCCTTACGAAAATTCTACTTATACGTATAAAGGATATACGCGATACCTAGGATATAGTAAGATAGCTAGTATTATATACTATAACGAAACGTATACTATTTATAGGTTAGTAAAGTTAGATTATAATATCGAACTAAAACTACTATAGTAGATAAAGAAGCTATAATAGACGAAAGAATACTAGGGAATTTAGTATAATAGACGCTAGATATACGATTATAAGGATCGACTAACGATATATCTAGCGGTAATACTATCCGGGATATATATTAAACTATATATAAACCTACTAATAGGAATAGTATAGACTCTTATCGACTTAGGAGCTACTAATAACTTTATAAACCTAAGGTTTAAAGACGATCGGTAAGTTATAACTAAACCCCTACTATACGTAATACCGGTTATAGGACTTAACGGAGAAGTACTTTCGGGAGGAGTTAGCGAGGAAACTATTATACTACCTATATCTATCTACGGATACCTAGAATTAATATAGTTTAATATCTTAGAAATAGGAGACTATAATATTATTCTAGGTATCCTATAGCTTAGGAAGTATAACCCGAATATTAATTAGTAATCGGGACGAATTACCTTCGATAGGTATAAGTATATATAAGAATACGACGAGTATAAGATACGTCGATAAAAGTCTACCTAATAAAATAAGTGTAGTAAGTAGTCCCGAAGTAAGAGGACTAGAGTATTAGTTATAGACGTCGCCCTAGATACTATAGAACAATTACTAGATATATCTAACTAAGAATTAAAGGACTATATAATAATTAAATATAAGAAGCTATATATAACTAGCGATATATCTAGGATTCCGAAGGAATACTAGGAGTTTACGGATATTTTTATAGTACTAGCTAATAGAGTATTACTAAAGTATAGACCTTTTAATTATAAAATTAATACGATAGAAGGTACTAAACTAACTTTTATACCTATTTATTAGCTATTATAAAAGGAGTCCGATATACTTAAGGATTATATTAAGGAAAATCTATTAAAGGGATATATCTAAGTCTCGAAGTTAGAAGCTAGATACCCTATTATCTTTATACTAAAGAAGGACGGGAGTCTTCGACTTTATATAGATTACCGATATCTAAATTCGATTACTATTAAAGATCGATACCTACTACCTTTAATTAACGAAATATAAGATAGGATTAGATATACTAAGTACTTTTCGAAGTATAATATTATTAATACCTACTACTATATTAGGATTAAGCTAGGCTATAAATAAAAAACGGTATTTAGAACTAAGTTCGGATATTACGAATATAAGGTTATACCTTTCGGTCTTACTAACGTATTAGCGATATTCTAACGCTTTATCTTTAAAGCGATTAAGGAATATTTAGATATCTTTATTATTATATATCTAGATAATATTTTAGTCTTCTCGGAAATACTCGAAGATTATATTAAATATAATAGACTTATATTATAGAAGCTAAAAGAAGTAGAAGTTACTCTTAAACTAAAGAAATACGAATTCTATATTTAGGAAACGACTTTCCTTAGATACTATATTACCTTTAAAAGACTAGGGATAGAAGAA